ATCCTCTGTAAAACGCCTCAGTAAAAGTCGATGAAAAATAACCTCATCATTTTCAGTTTGCAGGATGATATATAAAGAAAGTTAACACACTGTAAGTGAGAATCTCTTCAGCTCCTAAAATCGGACACACATTGGTCTAAATCAGACAGTATTGATCAGACTCTATATTTTGATCGTTTTAGGAACTGTGTACGGAGTGGCAAAATGAAAAACCCTCCGCTACCTGAAATTAAACTCCCGCTCTCTCTGCTTCTTCTTCTTCATCTTCCTCTCTGTTCTCCAACATCCTCTGTTCCATATAAACACTGTTTCTATGCAGTTGGTAAATACTCAGCTTCAGCCTTAACCATGTGTTATCCTTTCTGCTAGTGGTGTCCGATACTGCATACTAACAGTACTTTATACTGTATTATATATTGATTATTAACCAGTTAAAACCCAGGACAGAACTTGGCCAAATGCAAATTTAATTTTAACTGACGCCGTCGATGACTACAATATCACCTCCCTCACTACTACAGTATCTACCCGGATATTCTCCGCCATCATTAAAGACCCCTTGGCGACAACCTTTGCCTCTGGATCAGGGGTCTTGGTCTGCTCGGGTCAGGGTCAGGCACTGGGGAAAATACTCTTCACCTCTTCCCAAAACAGGTATTGATATTTTTACTCTGATTTAATCAATATATTAATCAATATAATATTGACGCCAACGTCGGTATCAATATTATTGATTCTGGGTTCACTTCTAAGGAGTTCGGCGATTTATTATTAAATCACCCTTGTGAGGATCGAGGAAGGTGAAACTTTCAAATGCACTTCATTACATTGATTGTGCTCAAAGGTTGATTCATTGACTGATTGATAATTGAAAAATGAGCAGAATGAACAGAAGCATTCAGAGAACAAACACTATGATATTGGAGCAGGTATTTAGTACAGAAAGTGTTCCTGCGGGTTTGAAGTTTTTTGTTCAAGTTCTCTGCAATTCAACTTTAAATGATGACATCAGTCACATCACATGACAGAGCGGAGGAGTGCGATTGGGCTAAATGCCTTACATCAGCCTCCTGCTCCTTGAGAATGCACCTGACTTTTATCGTTACACCCAGGTTTTGGAGGCCACAGCACAGATGCTGTGTTGTGGCCGTCTCTGCCACTCTCAGGTCCCAGGGTCCACTCTAATGGAACCGCATCAATCACAGGATTAATGCTGTGGAAACGTTGCTCCTGTCACTGTGAGCTTCCCCTGTTAACCACATTTCCACCCGACTTGCCCGCTGTCACTTGACCTTTCGGAAGAAGGAAACAATGTCTGCCTGAGTGGCTAAATGGCTCCAGAGCCGACAATCGGTGTCAGTCAAATTGCACAGGGACCGATGTACGTCTATCCTAATATGCACTTCATATCAAAGAGTATTATCGCTTTTAAATGTATTTCTTTAGGACCGTGATAGTTTGGCGTGTGAGGCGGCGGCCTGAGCACTACAGTATGTGACAGACATGGTCTCAAACCCGGGTTTATCTTCTTTTTCTCTGTAGAGCCTGTCATGCCGCTTGACTTTCCTTCAGCCTTTGGGTTTTAAAGCCTTATGATCCCTGAGTCGAAGCTCCATGAATACTTAAAGACTGACGGTGGCTGGAAGAACCGAAGGGAAAAGTGATGAGGCCAGTTTAATTATTAATGACGATGCTCATTTTTGAAAACGTATACATTAGGAAAGACGTGGAATCAAAAGTCAGGATGCTTTAATGAATAATCCCAAAAGAAAAGCCTTGTGTTTAATCAGCGCCGAATTCTTGAAAATGTACGGCAAATCTTAGTATTTTGGAACATCAAGAGCACCGCCATAATCATTTACAGTATATATTTTTGTATTTCTGTTCATTTTAGAACGACTTCTAGAAGGATGGTACGACTGGCTCCCTCTATTGGTTTGTAGGGTGATTGCATTTTAGTTTTTTAACAGTTGGCAAAATGGTCAGAGTCGATAAAACAAAGGGTTAAAAAAATAATTGAAGACGGTTGATGGTTCAAAACTGTACTGGGCAAGGCCAAAATTTAGTATATTGGTCAGGGCTACATAGATAGTAAAACCAAAACCATTTTTGGCTACACTTCATCTTTTACTTAAATATGAAAACGAACTTTAAAAAATATAATTTTGGTCAAAATACTAGACAGCTTCTATGTTTCTCAGTTATATAACAATGTTTTTTTTTGCTTGGGTTTCTTACTTGGGCGTGTGGTTTCATCTGTGGTTTGTTCTTCGACTATGAACACTAGAGTTGTAGATGATTGTGTGCAGTTTCATGAACACCGGAGGTAAATATCCTATTGGTCTTGACCGGTTTGTGTTAGGTAGAAATTATAATAAGAATTTTTATCTCATGTCAAGCGTTCATTTCACATACAAAGTAATATCATACCCTTATGTTCCATCTCTTTAATTCGTCCTCTATTCTGCCTTTTGGAATTCATTAAACCCTGTTAGAGTGGCAGACGAACAGGGAGGCAGGAAGTGTGCAAAACAAGAAAGGGAGGAGTTTCAGTGGGGGGCATGGAGCTATAAAGCTATGACAAAGACATGGACTGGGAGACTTGACAGGGGTGATAAGTAAAAATGAATATGCCTCAGGCAGAGTACTACTGATTACTTTCTTACTATTATGGCCTCACGTTCTCCGAGGCAGTTTGCTATATGGCTGGCCGTAAAACAGCACAGTGAGCACATCAATGGTGTGGCTAATGCTCGCAACCTGCTCCCATCACAGCATAAAACACCAGCATGGTTTAGACCGCGGCAGCTGTGTCCAAATTCCATAAAAAGTACCTGGTGCTAACCAGGTTTTGATTGTATAGGGTACACAGAATAGGAGAGCGTACTGTACTAAAGATGTCTGGGAGATGATCAATCATTTTTGTGAGGTTAATGAACATTACGGAGTACAAGGGCAATAAAGGTGCTACTTACAACCGGAACAAATTAAAACAAATTGTTGATGGTGCTAAAACAGTCAGGAACATTTCCAAAGTTTAGCAAATGAAAGAGAAAAAAAAAATCTCAAAAACTAGACCTGGCCAGCTATGTTAGTACTTTCAAAAGTACTGCAATCTGCTCTGCTAAGAACACAAATGTCTTTCTTTTTTTTTATTTCAACTGGTGATGTCATGCACTTTATCGATTTTTAACCAATTCACGATGCATCGTTAGGTCCCTACTCTTTACAGATTGGAAAAAAAATTAGAATAATAATGAGCGTCACGGGATATTAGGGGAGGTATTATGGTTGAGTAGCTACGATTACTTTATGTTCAGATTTGACTGGTGTTAGACATCAAAGTGTAAAAAATTAAATAAATAAAAAGGACATTTTCACTTGAAAACTAAAATTATAATCCTTTTCTTTCGCAACTTGAAAACTAAAATTATAATCCTTTTAGAGCCACTTTGTCTCTGTTTATTTGTGAGCTCAGTGTGTGTGGGTTCAGTTGGGCTTCAGACAGTTATTTTGTTCCTTAAAGATTGGTAAATACTAACTTAGCACCAGCCTTGTACCAGACAGTTTTGCTACATATTCAATGTTGACAAACAAAAACCAAAGTGATATAAAAAAAAAACCCACTGCCGCTCACTGCATCTTTACTTTTTTTTCCCCTGTTTATCTCTGTGCAGCCTTTCCCGTAGTCGTCACTCTGCTCGCAAACTTACGACCTTATTGTCGGAATTGCCAAAAAACAATACAACTTGGCTCAGCTGATGTATCTCGGAGAAAAGAGCATAGAAACGCGGTCGACTGAGCCGTCGCTGTTACCTCATTAGGACTGGTATATATCACAGCCATGTTTAAAACATGAGCTGCAGCGTTGAGTTAGCATCGTGACTGAGGTGTAGCAGCGTAGGAAAGGCTGGTGTCAACGGGTCTCGACTGTTTTGCGAGTTTAACCGACATAAAAGGAGCCTCACAATGGCTCTTCTCTTTTTATTTCAGATGTTTTGAACATTTTAAAATAGATTCTGCATTTTTGTTTCCTTCTGTGTCCTGTTGATGCTTCATTTAAATCATGCGGTCCCTTCGCGCTCGCTACGTCTCTCACTTGTTTACACGTGCACACACACACACACACACACGCTCCCTTCATTCAGTTTTTTTTTCGAGAGCCCTGTAGGCTCTGCTTTGGATCAGGCTGTGGAAGCAGGAATTATTTCTAATCAGGCTCCAGCAGGGAGACGCTATTCCATTTATTTTGGCAGTTCTGAAATCACTCAAACAAGAAGCAACCCCTAAATCAACTACACTTTTTAGAGCCACACGCACACACACAGACGGGCTCTGAGCACACACACTGTACTGCGCGTGCTCTCGACAGAACTGTGTTTACAAAACATCAGCCGTGCCTGTGACTTTAATGCTATGCTAATAAGACCCTCGACATTCCCATTCATGTGTCGGTTACATCTTACAGTGGGTCACAATAAAAGCATCTCTGTTGAGATTAAAAGTGTTGTGGTTTCCTTGTCAAAAGCCTGTGTAAAAATGTCGGACACTCTCACGCTAGCTATTATCTACTCCTCTGAAGAGGCTCTCGCCCCCCCACGATCATTTACCTCATAGCAGTGTGTCAGAACACCGCCAGGAAGCTCATCTGTGAAGAGATACGTTAAGTCGAACTCACCTACATTTTTATGCCCACACTGTCTGATTCATTTTTCACCAAAGTGCTACCTTCGGGTCACGATTTTGACACAGTCCAAGTGAGGATCATTACAAAACGTCCACGTCAACCATTCTGCTGTTCATTCACAGTAAATTCACTGACCCTACATCGATGTTCATCAAACCTGTCAAATATCCGGTCCGTGTATTTGGTACTTTCTTGACCATTTTTTACTAAGACCATGTTTTAAAGTGTTTTGTCACTGATCTACCGCTGTGGCATAAGAGCATGAAAAATCTCTGTGGGTGGTTTCAGTGTGATGTCACCGTCTTCTTCTTACCTATGGGCGACAGCTCTGCCACGCTGCCGATGTAGGGTCCTGCCAAGAACTTGGGCTCGCTGTCGTTTATGTCCTGCACCTTGATGACAAACTCCGACTCTGGCTCCAGAGGGTCGTTGGAGAGGCGGTCCCGAGCCTGAGCGCGGAGCGTATAAAAAGCTTTCTCCTCGCGATCCAGTCTCTCCGTAGCATGAATGTCTCCCGTCAGCTCGTCAATGATGAAGATGGAACCGGCACCTTCTCCAGAGATGGTGTACTTGATGTTGCCCTCGCCTTCATCAGAGTCCGTATGAATCTGTAAATGAAATAAAGATATATTAAAAAACTTTATTTTGACTCTATATCACTACTGACAGATACTGTAGTATTTGTCCTGCTGCAGTTAAATACTGATCAGTGTTTCTCTGTACCCTCAGAAGAACACTTTTCTCCACCTTTCTCTCTCTTCTCTCACCCCACGTTCTCTTATTTCTTATTTCCTAAGCCCCTAGCTGAACATCTCCTGCAAAAACTCACGCATCGTAACCTAGCCTACCTAGCGCATGTGGCTATTTTCATGTTGGCAATCCATCTAGTGATGTGTTCTGAGGTGCATGTTGGTTGTTATATGTTACTAGCTTCTAGTTGCTAGTTCCATGATGGCAATTATGTTTTCCATGTCGCTAACTTGTTGCTATTTGCATGTTCTGGTTGCTTGTTTCTTGTTATATGTTACTAGCTGCACATTGCTAGTTCCGGGTTGCTAGTTGCATGTAGCGTGTTTCTAGAATATGTTCTGGTAACACGTTCATCGTTACGTGTGGCTAATTCTACGTTCCTCGGTGCAGGTTATTAGCTAATTTATGACTAGCTACATGTTGCTTGTTACATAGTTCTAGTTGCAGCTTTATGTTGCCACTTTTCCATATTGCTAGTTGCATGTTTGTAGTTAAAAGTTAATAGTTGCATGTTTCTGAGCACATGTTGCTATTTTCATGTTCTAATTGCTTGTTTCTTGTTTAAAGTTTTTAGCTGCACATTGCTAGTGCCAAGCTGCGGTTACATGTAGCGTGCAGCTATATTTTGTTAATCGTATGTTGTAGGTGCATGTTGTTTGTTATTTCTTCCTAGCTCCATGTGGCTATCTCCATGGTTCCTGTTGCTAGCTGCATGTTTTTTTGCATCTTGCCTTTCACACGCCGCATGTGTGACTATGGTATCTGGTGCAGGATTGTCTACTTCCTTTCAGACTGCCTGGACCAATAGCAGCTACTTCTCTAACTACCAGGTAATTAGGGAATAAGGGCGCCCACCACTGGCGGTACATGCCATTATTCATGCACCCCGTGCTGCATTTTTTGGCTTGTTTTCTCCTAGTTAGGCTGTTCATTTTTTGGTTGTCAGAAAATGATCTTGTTAGGTGTATGGTGGTGAGGGGATTTCCTCTAAGATAATTCACGGTAGTGTTGCAGCCCACAGGGCGTGTATTTGTTTCCATTGCAGCCAATATAAAAAATAAAAAATAAATCACTCCACGAGCCTCCGTTGTCTGCTGCCTGCCTCGTGTTACCTTCACTTGACAGGTGTGTTGGGATGAAATTCTAATAGCTGAAAATGAGGGAAAATCATGACAACGTCTTAGCAGCATGAAGTTATCTGGGCTAGTCATTTGTCAAAAAGTCACAAGTGACTTGTGCTTATAGTTGCTACAAAATGTGAATCGCGAACAGAAGGAAAACCAAGGAGAAAAAAAAAATACCATCATTATTTCAAGAATGTTGAGAATGCAGCGGAATAAATCCAGAATTCCACTACGTTTTTATACTATTTTTTCTTGTATTTTGAAAACAAAATAAGGGCATGAGCATTTTAATAAATGGACCCTTTAAGAGAAAACACTCTATATATTGTTTAATGAACACTTTTTCTAATTGATTCCTGATAGAAACTGACATTTGTTAATTTGCTGTGGACGAAAACATCAAACCTCAAAAGAAAAGAAAAGAAGAAAAAAAACAGGCTACAGATCAGCTGATGATTTTCATTTTACCCTTCGTGGGGCGTGGCGCTCAAATTAGGGATCAAAGTCTTTTCAAAGGTTGTTAAAGGTAGAGACAGACGGGTGGAGGAGCAGCTGGGGGCTGAGCTGGAGAGAGTGCTCTTAAATCAAAGCTATATCTCCTCCATCCAATGTGATTAGAAGACGGTCCAGAGGCAGCAATTGAAGAGGTATTGTTCCTCTGTCCCAACCTCCCCTTTGGCTCTTTAGTGACTATTAGACCTCCTCTCTCTCTCTCTCTCTCTCTCTCTCTCCCTCTTCTTCACTCACCTTTCATCTGAAATTATTATTCAGAACCATCTATATGGTGTAAGTGAGGTTCAATCTACTGAGCAGACCAGCAGAGAGTGGGAGATCGCCGCGGCTTCTGTGCTTAATATTTTATCAAAGCTTAATTAAACACAGGCTCCTATCACCCTCACGGGGGTTTTCATTAAGTATTTGTCGTAAAAACCGTGCCATAATGCAGGCCCCTGCCTTCATATTGCTTGGCTCGTGCATTTTTTTTCTCCCTCCCCCTCTCCCTTTTCTATCTCTCTGTTTTTGCCTCTCCTCGTCAGTCTGAATCATCCCCGAGACTAATACATGAAGTGTCAGAGAAAATATGATGCTGAATGCTTAGTCTGCATCAATATTTCAGTTATAATAAAAAAAAAGTTTCATCGGGCCAAAACTGCGAGACTTATCTAATAAAAGTGCATACTCATGCACAACTTGATAAGCCCTCCCCCACTCTTTTGCCCTCCATCTGTAATTCTAAATCAAACCCAGAGAGGAGAGTGTGGTGGATTGTGTCACCACGCTCAAATGAAACTGCACAAACACTGACAAGCATGCGAGTTTATACGTGTGCACACAGACGCAGAGAGAGGAAGATGGAGAGAGAGAGAGAGAGAGAGAGAGAAGGAGGGGGGAGGCGTAGAAGGGAGAGAACCCTGGGATGATGCCGATCCATTTCTCCCTCCTCAGGCTGAACGCACCAATCCGTCAGTCTGTCCTCAACATAGTAATTCAAGTTGTCAGCCCCCAAAAACACACAAACCACGCTTGGTTAAAACCTGCGTAAACTTACAGTCTGAGTCGAGTCGACCAGAAGTTAAGGTCACGCAAAACTTTAGAGCCTGACACACAACCGTTTCCACCCTAGTGTCTAAATCTGGGCTCCATCTGTCAGGACTTGTTTGTTTTGTATCACTGCCTTAGTGCACTGATGAAGGGACAAGGAAAGATCTCAGGCTTATGAGACTGAACAGGGTTGGTACTGACTGGTACTGACTGGTACTGACTGGTACTGACTGGTACTGACTGGTACTCTCTGGTACTCTCTGGTTGAAATTAGTAGTATAGTTATTAATATTTTTAAAGGACTATTTCTCACCAATCATAATTGGGGCAATTATCCTGTAGGAGAATTTCATTTTAAATCAAATTAAAGTTATTTGTAGCCACTGAATTCTTTTTTTTTAAATTAAGAGTTAATTAGGAGTTTTGTGTATTGTGTACCTTTGTGTATTCCTATATTGCCGTACACACCAGTGATGCCAGCAAATCACCAGGGGTTTCAAACCAAATGCTGACAAATAAAGTGTCTAACGCATTTACTCAACATTGTGATCAATCACAATTAATCGCAAGAATGTATGTGATTTATCACAGTTCACAATTGTACTTTTGTATTACACATCCAATTCTAGTTTACAAATACAAGACATGTCAACGTTAAGCCAGCAGTGGCCGCTAAAGACATGTAACTGGTGAAGTAAAACATAAATTCACCCGTGTTGTTTTTTTTTTCAACAAAAAACAACAGCAAGCGTAGTGAGCATGAATATTCAGACCAAAAATATGCAGTACTTTAAAGTACATGCATCACATTTAGCAAAACTGGAATGATAATAAGAATTAATTCATATGTAATGCAGGGTAAAATCAGAACAATCACATTTGAGCTTGTTGTTTAGTTCAAAATGTGTGTTTAATAAAACCCTGAGGGACTGACTTGTGAAAATAATGTTGAATTAAGTTGAATTTATTTTCTTCAATTCCGTAAAAGCTTCCTTAATGAAGACTATTTTCTGTATTTTTACTGGGCCTTAAAAACCTGAAGAAACACTGAGTGTGAAAAGAATCAGAAAACCTGAGCAGAGACAGTGATGGAAACACGATGTCACTGGTGACTGATTATGATTCAGAGTCTTCCTTCAGTTAAACCGCAGTCAGAAACGCCGCAGGGTTTACAGTGGAGGGCTGTGGGGTTGACTCAGGGGGGAGAGAGGGGTGAGGAGGGGGTGACGCTGTCAGGGTCACAACTAAGTGTCAGCCTGTCACTGCTGCCTTCACTTGCTGAAGGGGGACAAGGGTTGAGGGGCTGGTGGACCGGGGGAGGGGGCATGTGACTCAGAAACAGGGAGGAGCATTTTTTTTTCTTTGTCTTGTTTGTTGGTGAGGTTTCTTCAGGTTCTGTCCCCGTCCATACTGTACAGACTGGTTAAGGGAAACATGTTTCACCTTATATAGAGTAGAGAATAGAAAAGAAAAGGTGTGATGAATAAATTCAGAATAGTGTAGAATAGAATTGCATAAACAATAACATAAGATAAGGCAATAGAGACGAAAAAATATAATTAGTAAAGAATAGAATAGAAAACATTTGGCGGCATGTGAGGAGGGAACAGAGTTGGCCCATACGTAGACACTTGATTCTGTACGTACCTTACACGTACACTATGTAACTTACATATATTTAGAATTAAGTTTTTTTTTGTTGCTTTTTTCGATTTGTATTCTTTCTTTAGCTGGCACCACGCTCATATTTATCGACAATTTCCTGCTTTATTTCCATGGTCGTCATGCGTTTCTTCTTCTCACCACCATCCTTACCACTCACTCTCTTACGCGTAACTTACGCGTACGGAAGTCGGCAAACATGTGAAGGGAACGAGTGAGGCGGCTTACGCGTACGGAAGTCGGCGAACATGTGAAGGGAACGAGTGAGGCGGCGTGGGCTGCTGTGAGTGATCCGCCACCTAGCGTCTGCGTCTGTAAGCGCGGTCGTATCTCAAATCTTTACTCGAAACTCAAAACAAAAAATGTACTCAAAGGCTTGCTCGTATCTCGAAATACCCGTATGTCTGGACGCTCGTATCTCGAGGTTCCACTGTATAATAGAAAAAGGATTGAACAGAAAAGGAACATAACTGAGAAGTCACAAAAATAATGATAATTTTAGATCATATAGTGGAAATAATTGAAAAGAACGTCTCTAGAATAGAGTAGAGTAGAATAGAATAGATCCACATCGCTGCAGCTGCAGAAGTGTATCGTAGGGTCCTTGGTTTCGGGGGACTTTCAAAGCCAGAGCAAACTGCAATCTTATTTCTAAGTCTGTATAATCAGAAGAAGATCCGCCACACTTCTCTGTGGTTTGTCAAGCTCTCTGATCTCGACAGCTTCAAAGTGTTAACAAGGTGACTATATCAGAGACAACCTATGCGGAGGCAGCAACAGGAAAGGAAGGATACTGACATATGGGAAAGGTGGATCAGAGGGAAAGGCTAAAAAAGATGAAAGACAGGCGAGGAAGGGAGAGTGAAATGTTCCAGGTGGTGGAATTTTAGAAAGTTAGACAGAAGACGGAGGATTAAATAAATGACAAAAATACTTCATCCACCACATGAGATGGAAAAAAAAATACACTTTCAGAATTATTTTAATTACTGAATACTGGAAGCTGACACGTTTTTTAATCCCCTTCACCAGTTGAAATTAAATTTAAAAAAATCAACTTCTTTATCTTGCAGATAAAAAGCTTTGAAGGAAAGTTAAAATAACGGATGAATTCCTGACTGGCTGATCATAATTAAGGGGAAAATCTGTTTTACAAGAGTGAACGTGTTCTTCTTTTGCCAAGTTCTTTTTAATTTTTCTTTGAAAGTAAAAACTCAGTTTGCACTTAGAGATGCTTTCACATTTACTCAAACAACGTCTAAAATAAATGTACTGCTGACCAAGAGGAATTCTGTTGAACAATTACTCAATAATTGCTACAGAAAGGAATCATAAATCTGTATTCTACAGCAGGGGCCCCCAACCCACAGTCTAGGGACCGGTGCTTGCCCATAGGTCATTTGGTACTGGGCCGCAGTGGGTCATATCCCATTACTTTTTTTCATTCAAAGATAATCTGTCAATGTTTCAAAACAACAGGTCATTCAGACTCTGATACTAACAGAAGAAAGACAACGTTTTATTTTGAAAATTGAATGATCCTTCAACGTTGGCGCCTTATTACCGGTCCGCAGTAACGGCAGATACCGGGTGACTGGTCCATGGTAGAATAAAGGTCGGGGATCACTGGTCTACAGTATCATATTATAACACACAGTAATCTATAATTGTGTTTTATCGTTTGTATGTTACAACCATGTTGGAAAATGTTGGTACTTTCTTCTTTATTTCATCATTTATTACATGATCCGACCCAGTAAAAATTGAAATACTATTGAGAACCTGACAACATGTATATTATTATCTGTACAAACCACTGTATGATTTGCTGCCCCCTAGTGACTGGAGGCTTGTTATCATTCAAGTGTTAGTGGTGGTGCACTGATGTCCAGCGTACCATATTCCATTGGAAGCCCCTCATGCCCCCCGTGACACCTCACTGTGCCCCCCCAGGGGGGCCCGCCCCACTAATTGAGAAGTACTTGCAGTGGACAATGAATGAATTGCATGTCCTTATTTTCCCATTAATGAAATCATTTGACGTCTTCCTCCTGCTGCTGCTGCTGCTGCTGCTGCTGCTCTCCATTCAAATCTCTAATTGACTCTGTCACTTTTTGCCCCCTTGACTTACAGTGTATCATAAGTCAGTAAATAAAGCCTTTTGGCTTGTTCCGTTCTCACTGTCCTACTCCTTCATCCACTGCACATCTATCAGCCCCCCCCCCCCTTCATCTCCCCATCTGACTCCCAGCTAACTTCCTGTTGGCTTTGTTGTTTGCTGTTGGCAGCTGGGCTGCAGCAAAAGTCACAATTGTAGATAAATGGTGGCCAGAAAATACAATCACTCCAACGCTCAGCAACGCTTTGGGGAACGTGTGCATTTATAGACCACATCAGCCGATCCACGGCCACGTCTGCATTATTTCGAGACACATGAGCGATTGCCGTTACTCATCGCCGACTCTCGTGGCTGTCCGCATTAATAGCCCTTCGTTTCATATCACGGCCTGCGTACGGCCATCAGATTGTACACGCTGTCCGCTCCCATCATCTCACAGAGTTTCATCCCAGATGAGGAAAATGAAGAGGGAGGAAAAAATACGTTCCCAATTGCAAAGCAGATTTAACTGCAGGCAGATTTGAGATGACATTTTCTCATTGTCTTTGATTACGTTGAGGGAAAATATAATACGAATGAGGCTCACTCTGCACAGTGACACGGTGTCACTGAGTCGACGAGAAGGGCACACTTTTATTATATGAACAGCATCAACATGTCGCTTCAAAACTTAAAGCTAGTGTCACCCCCCCCTCCTTTGTTATTTATAATGTCATGAAATGATGTATTCCTACTGTTAAAAATGGTTAAATCTGTCAAAGTGGAAAGGTTAATCACATATATGGGTCAATGACAAATGAAGCTGTCAAATAATAAAAACAAAAATAATATAAATATTATCCATATTACTCTGAATTTGAGTATCGTTAACATCCAACTTTTCATATCTTTGTATTAAATATAGAAACAAGGGTCAACAAGGTGCTAGGGTCGTATGACAACCTAGTGATACAGAAATTGTAAATAAAATATAATAAACTATATGTATCCAAACTAGCTTTTTAAAAATCTACCAAACAATCTGAAGCCATTCCCCAAAATATGATCTAGTAATAAAAGCGGCTTATAAAATAATAATAAAATGCAGCACTTTTTAAAACTGCAGAGGTCAAAAATACGGCAGTAAAAAGGTTCATTATTGTAGTACACTGTGTGTGAAGTAGTCAAAAGAATGTGTAATTGTTGGAAATAAGAGAAATTCCTATCCCACTAACCTGTGGAGTTTGTTTGCACCTTTCATTTGTTGAGATCAGGCCAAGACTTACCTTCCCCACGTACAGCGGCTCAGTGCCCGTGTACTCCTCCACCACGAAGAACTGGTTCCACACCCATCCTCTCTTGACGCGTTCAAGGGATGAGGTTCCGTGCTCCTGTTGACTTCCTCCTTTGGTTGGACCACTAGTCCTTGAGGCCTCGCACCAACCAAAGAAACAACCGCTGAGCAAACAGAGAGCTGCCACCAATGTCCAGCGTCCTATCGTCCAAGAGGGAGCCATTGTCTTTACAACCACCAAAAGATAAAATCCAACCTTGGTCTACATGTAAAACTGCAGACACATGAAGACAAAGTTTTTCTTTTTTTTCTTTTTTCTCAAAGTTAAATTCCACCAGCTTTAAAAAAATATTCTCTTTGAAAGAACATGAAAGTTAATCCAAGGTCTCACAGAAAGAATCTGAGGGAATATACGGAACCCAAGGCGATTTTTATCACCTGAAGACTCTGTTTGTGTGAACTCTCGATCATTCTGTGTAGTTTTTGTTTTTGTATGATCCTTCGTACTGCGTTTCTGGTGTTGTTTCAAAGTAAGACCTGGAGTAAGAAAAACTGAGGGTTTTTTAAAAGAAGCAGAAGAATCTCAAAGGCTGGTCCGATACCCCGCAGAGAAAAAGGGACAATCAGGAATCAATCAGGTTGATGGTTCATTTCCATTATTTAATTCCTCCTTCATTTTGCTTGTGATTCCTCCTCTCACCTCTGGGCACGTCACTCTTCAGTGATGAACTCTGCAGGAATTATTCAGCAGAAGTTTTCCTTGTTCGCCTCTTGGAAAAGTCATGATTGGTTATTCTTCCCGAGGCCTAATCCTTGGACTGTGAAATGCCAGCTGATTTCTTGTTGAGGTGGAGGGCTTCTTTGATCCTCGGTGGCTTTTTCTCACAAACCGAACCAGTGGTTTGGAAAGTTCACTCTTCAAAGGTCCTCTGGTATTTCTGTGGCCATGGTGACACCTTCATCAGTGACTCAAAGGCAGAGGAAAGGACAAACCTGTGTGAGAAAAAACATAAAAATCACTTTTAATTTTTAAAAATTTCAGATAATGTGAAAATCTTTCCACAGGGATATTCTGAAGGTTAATTTAACCATCATGCACCACTCCCTGTTTATTGTGAAACAAAGGTGAAACAGTCGTCTGAACGTTCTTCTATCCTTCCATGACAGTTGAACCCCTCCGCCCCCGCCCCCCAAAAACAACAAAACACAAAATACTCTCTGTCTTGGTGTTTAGTTGAACCCCTCCGCCCCCCAAAAAAAAAACAACACAAAATACTCTCTGTCTTGGTGTTGTAAGGATTATCCAGTGTTTTCCACCAGTGATTTTGAGTTAAGCAAGATAACATCAGAACGCCGTGAGCTGGAAAGTAATGGGAACAGCGACGGGGGACCAGAAAGCAGGTGTGTGTGGAAGGAAAGTAGAGACAGAGAGGGGTGAGGGACGGGGAGTGGGGGAGGAGTAGAGTCACTGTTCATCACACACAAGACCAAAGAGCATCTGTCTCTTCTCCAGATGACGGTGCGACCCCGAACCTCCCGTCAGCTGATTAACTGCATGAGGAAGCACTAATTGGACAAAGGTTATAATCAATTTATTCTGTCCAATGAGGCAACAAAAGACTAACACTTTAGATAAACATTGGAGACGAGTGTATGGGGGTCAAATATGGTCCACGTCTGTGCAAACTGAACTCAAGCTGAAGAGAAAGACGACTCTGACGAACCAAGATGAGCAGAGAAAGGTGAGAGTGAAAATTGAATTAAAACAAAAAACGTACAACTGTAAAAGACGGCTGTGGTTCGCCGCCAGTTTGATTGATGGTCTTTTGAAACAACACAGTTCACAACACAGAGTTCTAAGATACAGAAAGGATTAAAAATAAAAGAAGAACAGTAATACTCGGTACATCTCTGGCCTTACAACCTGAGAAAGACTGCCAGTTGAAGAAAAGCTCCTTAGGCCAGCGGGAGGTTTAACCTATTGCATTTCTGCGGGCTGGGAGACGACTTCTAATCTCGCTCCTCTCCTGCCTGGCAGCGAACTCCCAGCTTCTGGAAATAATTCCTTTTCAGACTGTTGGTCAAGGCAATGTCCGTGGTATTGGAAACTGACTGCTCTGGGGGTCTCCAATCTCCAGAGCAAACCGTGCAAGAACAACTTAAACAGCTTAGAGCTCTTCATTTACTCCGCTGGTGACACTTTTTGTTTGCTACTCATGTTCCAGTGTACGGCCGAGTGTGTACATGAACAGATAGGCAGGTGAGGAAGTGGAGCACGGAAATCAAGATGCCATAATACGTCGTCACCCTTCCTCTCTACGACAGTGTCCCAAGGCTCATTAACATGAATCAATAGTGTCCCGTCCTCTGAAGGTTGCACGCCTCATAGCTGCTGCTGCTGCTGCTGCTGCTGCTGTTCTGTCTCTTCCATCGGCTCCAGCATTAGCTGTTGCTTCTGTCGGCTCGGATGATAAAGTGACACACTTTGGAGTCCACACTGGTGGAAGGTATGAGCTAACTTTACCGCAGCACTAAAACTTTGTTAGGGGGGAATTCACATTGTGAGTCTGCCAGACTGCCAGGGGAGGCGCCATTGAGTATGTGGTTCCTGTTGGGCTCAAACCCAGGACGTCCTACATGTAAGGGCAGTAGGGCAGATGTGTAAGACAAGCGTAATAACCACTACACTATGGTATCGCTGTACATTCTCGCACATATATTATACATATATATGTGTGTGTGTATATATATATATTATACAGTCCATGCATTTGGTTTCGCCTTCTTTAGCATTTATTTAGCATATATTATTAGTTACGCATTTTCTCTAGCACCTTAGCAAATATACATACAAAAATATATATTTTATATATATATTTAAGTATAAACACATCCTAAATTTAATCCTAATCTGAAAAACACCTTCTCATTTAGTGGACCTGCAAAATGTCCCCACAGGAAAAAGTGTCCACACGGTAACTTTTTGAAAGTAAGTCACATACACAGCACTTCAAATGTACAAAATGCATTTTGATAACCCTTAACCATAACTCTGATCTGACCCTAACTCCAATATTATCTTAAAAGTATTTCTAAAATTACCCACAGATAAGTGTCCTAAAAAAATGTCCCCAGAATTACAGCTACACCAATGTCAAATCCTCACCCCCCCCCCACACACACACATACGCATTGATTCCCAATTCAATATATTAGAACAGTTACTTCAAAGACTTAAAACAAACTTCTTTGTCTGTGCCTCAAAGGAGAAATTGCATGTGCAGAATAATTTCTTTTTTTTTTTTTTTTGGACCAACCTAAATTTGCACTTTTCCCTCATGGTAGCTGATTTTGCACAGGCAGACTGGATTAAATTTAATTAGATAGCATCTGTATTAAACGGTCTTCTGTGAGGACCAACAGCCGTGTTTGCTTTGCAAACTGAAACATTTGCTGGGCGCCAACCGCCTGCAATCGAAAAAAAAAAAAAAAACCCATCCACACTATTACAAAGAAATCGCTCCCTTCTGCTCTGCCTTCCTCACTTTGGGAATCCTGTTGAGTGTGTACAGATTTACTTATAATTAGGTCTAAAAGTAGAGAACTGTAATGAGTTAGGGAAGGAGACAGAGGGAGCGGGGGAGGGGAGGGTGGGAGGACGGGCCGGGGGTTTGTATCCATGTGTGTTGGTTTTACACTAAGTTGGCAACCACAGGAGTGCAGTCAAAACCCTCAGTAGCTGCTAATTAGTGGAATGTCAATTACCCAACGCTACTTCCAAGCACTTCCCTACAGAGCCTGTTGATGAAAGTAAAGTTGACACACGCGTTCTCTCTCGCTCCGTCTCTTTGTGTCTTTGCATCCTTTGTCGGTTTCCATCCACGTCTCTACTCGTTCTCCAATCTTCAGCTATTGGCGAACAGGGTGCAGCCATTCGTGACCTATTAGAGTGCTGGATTGATTCTAGAGCGTGGCCGCAGCCTCTCGTCGGCGGGCATGCCTAGAGCAGGTCCTTTGACAGCTGGCAGCAGACAGACAGCAGCCAGGCAAGACAGATCACTGCACACTGATAGGCAGGGGGCCGATGGCCGACCAACAGCTCCCCTAATGGAGCAGTGTTGTAGCTGCGGCGCCTGTGATCAGACAAATGCAGTGACCAGACGGTTGTTCTGTCTGGACATGAACCACTGCTGGCTGCAGTTATGGTGATAGAGAAGTACAAAGAGTACACACACTTACAGTATGGATGGTGGAAATCCTACCACTACTACTATTAATACAACTAGGATTTCCACAACTACTACTTTTGCTGCAACTATTTCCTGTACTTCATCTATGTCTGCAACCACTAGTTCTAGAGCTGTTTGTACTTCTACTTTCTATTCAACTCGTACTACTCCATCTACTACTTCTTTATTATTTTTACTCAAATCCCTCACTACTTTTGAAATTACTGCTGCTATTTGTACTTGTAGGTACCTAGTTGTACCACTCCCGATACAAAACAAATCCCTCAATACTACCTAGTTGTACCACTCCCGATACAAACTCCACAACTTCTTCTACTACTACCGTTCAAGTACACCTGATACTACTTCACTGCTATTACTGCTACAGTATGTTTGCCACCACCACTGCATTAACTCGGCTACTACCATTATTACTACTACTTTGACGTTTACCCTAACTTCTGCTTCTATCACTGGTATTACTTTTACTATCATAAAACTACATCTACTACTAGTACCAATCAGGTATAAGTACTCCTACATATATAATACCACTTTTATAACTATTAAGATACTGTATATTTACTGCAATCACCGCTACAACTTCTACTTCCAGACCTATGTCTACTTCAACTGCTGTTCTAGTAGTACTATTACTAGTAGTTCATATTACTTCAACTACTATTAAAATCATTACATTCTACTAATTCAACTACTACAATTGCTTCTGGTACTACTTTACAACTATTACTGGTAGTTCTATGTCTACAGCTGCTTCTACTGTTTTTACCTTTACTTCTTAGTTAATCACTACTTGCAGTTATACATATATTTTTTCAGCTGGCTACTCAGCTGTGTGTTCCTTGTACTGCAGTGATTCAAAGGTTCCCACTATAGAACATTTCAACACGTTCTCTTTGGTAACGTAGCAACTCAGACACCTGCTAACTTTCTTTGGTAGAAAGACGCCACAGTGGTCAGAAGTGTAATTAACAGACACTTTAGCCAATGACTTTTAAGAGGAGGTGGTTCTCACTGCTCTAGCTTGTGTACCGCGGTGCACATCAGTTCAAGGTCTCCCAGCTGCATGCTGAGATTAAGTCATGAATTGTGAGCGTTGCGAAGAAAACTGTGTGCAGTTGACTCTCACCATCAGAGAGACATAAAGGTCTCAGCTCTGATGTGGCAGATGTAAAGAGCTCTGTTGCATCCTTGAAAGAGTGCGCCGCTTTGAAGGGTAGCTTAAAAACAAACATTTGACTGGGCAACGTTTGGAGGAAGCAAAATATGCAAACCCCTCGTGTGCTCGTGAAATTTGCACTTTACTGTAAAATGTCATGCTTTAATTCAAAATTTATGGTTTCCACGGTCTAATTTGTGAGGGGAACAGTTGGAGTGAGTCAATAACGCAACGTTCCCCTGCTGCGATCAAATGTATTACTTCACTTTATTTGGAGTCGGGTTCTCACGGAAGCTCTGCAGAATTCACTCACATATTCTCTCAAAAATTAACTTTCTGCAGCGTGTGCACAAACACCAGTTCAAGTGCCAACATTAGGTTTTGTAGTGAATCACGACAGAAGCATAAACTCCTGTCTCTCCATCGCCACCTACAGCTTCAACTCCACTCATTAGAGTAGAGAGTCAGCGACTCTGTAAACCTTTAAACGGGGGGCAGTGGTGGCTTAGTGGTTAAGGAAGTGGACTTGGGTCCGGAAGAGTTCGGGCACCGTCCCCACACACTGCTGCCCACTGTTCACTTTG